CAATATCATATAAATTTGTCTGATAAGCTATTTTTAATCTGCAGTTAATATAAACGTGATTTCCGATTTAATATAAAAATGTTCCTTCTTATTAACTAAATTGTACAGTGCTGTAAATTATACTAGTGCTAATCGAATGGATTTTTCACACCAATTTACAAGTATATTGAATTTTTGTTGGGTTATATATATATATATATATATATATATATATAATTATCATAATTTTTACCTTATTTAATATTATACAATATTTTCACATAATTCATCAACTTCAGGTGAACTTTTTAAAAGTTACAAGAAATGTAATCAATGAAAAATTGCACGATTAATTATTTATTGTAAATATTTAAGAATTTACGTTGTAAAGTTATATATTTATGTTTAATATATTAAAAATTATAATCATTCTTCTTCTCTCCGGGTTTAAAGAAAAAACCTGTAAAATGTTAATGTGGACGAAAGTCTTAGAAGTTAAGCTGATTATTCAAGATTTTTAAGGAAAACAGAATGCAAAGCTCAGATAAAAATTGTTTATTTACGTATCTCAGATTATATATATATATATATATATATATATATTTTAAAGTAACGCGGTATATTTTAAAATCACCTTTAAAAATAAATCTGAGCGTCCAAATATACATCAGAGACTTCATGTGCATTTGTTTATCATATTTGTTATAACTTTTATTACGTTTATTTTTTAAATATGGAATATTTGGTTACAAAATAGAAAAATATATATAATATTTACCAATATCGTAATACTCTGCAGCAACTCGGTTTACTTTAGAACTCGATTTGAAAATATGAAATGAATTAAAATGCACTCATATGTGTTTGAACATGAAAAAGTTCGCATTTATCCAGTATATCTCCCATAACATTCAAATTATTTGTCTAATAAAAATTGTATTTTTGGCAATTGTGTTAAAAATTAAATATTCACTAAATTGTCTAACATTATAAAGCCCTACAGCAACTCGCAACTCGGTTTACTTTAGAACTCGATTTGAAAATATGAAATGAATTAAAATGCACTCATACGTGTTTGAACATGAAAAAGTTCGCATTTATCCAGTATATCTCCCATAACATTCAAATTATTTGTCTAATAAAAATTGTATTTTTGGCAATTGTGTTAAAAATTAAATATTTACTAAATTGTCTAACATTATAAAGCCCTACAGCAACTCGCAATACCTTTAAATTATATGAATGCCCTACATCAACTTGTACCAAGAACATTTTGGAAAATATCCTATAAATTTTTGAGCACCTTTGTACATAATTTAATTAATAATTGTTTAATTAATATCTTCAGAAAGCTATTAAATTTTTCAAGTATTAAATAATAATATTCCACTTATTTTTTGTAAAAGGTTTAATAATTTATTGTACTCCATTATAAGTTAAAATATTCCAAACAATTTAAAATCTGTGCTAAACTTATTAGGAGACTAATAGATTTTGTAATATTTTCGAAACACTCTTAGGTTTTGCAAATACTTTTGCAGTAGCTGGAATATCATATATTTTATTAAGTAAAAGGCAAAAATTGCTTGGACAATAGATCCTTGTGTGCCCAGAAATGTTTACATTTAGTGCCATGAAAATGTCAAAAATTTAAAAAATGAGATGAATAACAAATAAAATTTTGGTGACTGATAGTAATACTTTATTTCACCTGGATAAAAAGTTATATATATATATATATATATCTGACCAAAATGGAAAAATGTGAGAAATTTTATAAAATACAAATTTCTATAACATATTTTGCAGTAATCTACTAATATCTTCTAAAAGATGCACAATAAAATTGTTCAATTTTTTTTGCAAATACTATCATTTCCTATGTTGCCTGGTTAAAAATTTATAAATAATCATACTTACTCAATTATTTTCGATGAACAAAATCTAGTGGATTTATATTTTCAATCATCAATAACATTAATAAATTGAAATAAAAACGAATCAATTACAATTAATATAATATTATATTTAAATACAATATAGTTATATGTGTACATATGTATCTACAATATACTTATACAAATTAAAACAACCTATAATTATAATTAATATTAATTTTACATATTTTGTCAATACATTTTGTTTTTTAACCATTAATTTAATAATCATGGGGCTAAGGGAAAGTTTTTTTATTATTTCATAATCAGTTGTGTGAGTATAATAGTTAGTAGAGCAAACATCCATGAAGGCACAACTTTAGAAACTAAATGAAATTTATTAATTTTTTTTGTTTTATTATTTATTTGTGGCTTTTATGAAATTGTTTTATTTAATACTCGTAATTATCCATATCACTATTAGGGGCAATATTAGAAGTAAATAATAAATATAATTTGCAATAAAGTTTGCAAAAATGGGATAGGATTTACATAGATTTGGTCTATATTATTGTAACTTGACCCATATTAGCCCTATTTTTATTTTCTACAGCCATTTGTGAGTATACCGAGTTGTGGTAGGGTTTTGTTGTTAGACAACATTGCAGATAATAAAGAAAAATGATTACTTATATTAAATTTATTTCGAAAAGCATTATCGAGTATACCAAGTAGCCTTAGAGCATTTTGATGTTAACAAAAATTATAGATAATTTAATTTTGTACAAATTTGTCTTAGACAGTATTTCTATTACGCAAATAGTTTAAAAGTTAAAAACAATATGGCATAAAAATGCCTTTTGCCAATTTGTTTTTTAATTTTAAAGTCGATCACCATTTTAAATTACATTTTCAAAGGAGAGTAAAATGCAATCAATAAGTACACAAATCTGCTGTACTTAATGAAACGTATATTAGGCTAATATGAGTGCAAACGTCATAACCTCTGGCTTTATTTTTTATATTTATATTACTTCGGATAAATGTTAGTCCACGTTTTTGTTTTTAAAAAACATCATACATTTATTATAAGGAACATCTAGATTGTCAGTGAGATGGTAAATATTAACACAATTGTTTTATAATATTTTAAAAATTAATATTAACTATTTTTTATTTAAATAAACTACTAATAAAATTGTAATGAATAAACAAAATCTTTTTCGTTAAACTAATTGACATTAGTCGATTTTTATAATTTGTACACGTTTTGCCAAAGAACTATCACAAGGCTTAGGGCTTGTACGATCACTTTATCTCAGGCAAGATTTCAATACATTTGGCAACAATGCCGAGTTGCCACCATTGTTTGGATGTATGTCAAAACTACTATTATAATAGTATGACGAAGCACTGTTGTTCATATGATGAAACGGTCATGTACAAAAATGTGAAAAAAACTTGTATTTTTTTTGAGTATTTATCACATTTTAAAAGATCGCAGTTCTTGTTCATTTTGGCGATAAAATTTTATACAATTGAGACATACGACTACAGTTTTATATCCTATTGCAGTACGTCAATGCGCTGTAGTCAAATTTCTGAAAAATTTGTAATGTGCTCTGAGGATGAATCGTTGCCTCGAGTTTTTTTTTTAAAATGTGTATTATTTTTCAAATAAAGACATTCATGCACTATGATAATGTTATTATTATAATAATAATGAAATCATTGGCTCGCAGCATACGACAATTTCATCTATATTTAAAAGAGCCAAATGAAAAATTAAAGCAAACTAAAGTTTATGCGCAGTTGCCAGATCTCCCTAAGCCCCGAGTTTGTGATAAACTTTTCATTGTATTCACAAATTAAATGGATTGATTAATTATTATTGTTGGTCTGGATGAAACGGTCGTGCGCCACGGATTATATCCAAAGCAGATGTATAAACTTAATGAAAATTTATATCGAGTTATTAACATTTGTGACAGTTATTTACAAATGCACATTAGTCGACCTCGAAATAAATTAATTTTAACAAATGAAAGATAAAACAGTTACGCTTCATTTTTAGTTACACCAATGCGCATAATTTTTGCTGAAGCTCAAAACTGATAAATCTAGTTTTCTAATTTAATTACAATTATATACACAATTTTTTGCCTAATTTTTGAAGCGTGGTCCTCGATTTCGAGGACTTTTTTGAGTAACAGAAGCCCTAACACATACAATATAGAGGAATAATAATTTTTACCAAATTTGATAACAAAAACTAATATTTACATCCAATCATGCTAAAATCATATTTTGGATTTATTTACAAAGCTATATTTCTATAGCTATAATTTTGACTATATAGCTATGCTATATAGCTATAGCTATAATTTTTGACTAGATTTGTAAATTGAGATTATTTGGCGGTTTTGCTTTTGTTTGGGACTTTTATCCACAAACTTCCAAATTGGTGTTGGATTTGCAAGAAAATTTACAAGATTCTGATGAAATCCGTTTGGTATTCCAGAAACTGTTCGAATGCTTCAAATTACTCTTTACATTCGGTACAAAAGTAAAAGTTAGTTACTGCACTATTTTATTTAAAACAAGATTTTAGTATAAACTAAATGGTATTTGGGGAAATAATATCAAGTAAATCCATTCTTTTCAAAAAAATCCTCAATCCATCTTGTTTCAAAGGTATCTTTAGATACGAACTGTTTTTATTCAGTTTATCTTCAAATCCCAGAGTTTTGATAAAGAAGTTTTTGGCTTATTTATTATTTTTGTGCATATGTTTGCCTTATCCAAATAAATTATTTAAAATCAAATTCTTGGTGATTCGGAAGTTGTGATCTATAGATCCACAAACAACCGTTCATAGTTGGTAGGATCAATTTGATAATACGATAAATGATTCTCTGAAGTATTTATATTTGCTAGTTGATTTTAACAGATTAGAATCAATAAAATTTAGGACAAATATTTAATACTGATCAATTTATAGTTTAGCCACAACCTGACCTTGGTAATTAAATCAACAATACCAATTGGCAGATACTGCACTATTGACGTCCGATATACTTGTAGATATATTTCAATTTAATAATATCATAAAATTAATATCAATCTGTTGGTCTCGTCTTTGATTTATGCATTGGATTCTTTCAAATTTTGTAATCTCGCCAACTGGTGAGGTGCTAGTTCATCAGGTATGCTTGCCCTGCCTCCGACTACCTGTTTTGGAGTACTAGGATCAGCTTCTTGATCCTGCTGTTGCGAATTTTCAGCAGTACTAGGACCGGTAGACTCGCCTTCGCTAGCGGAACTACTACTCACCGGAAAAGGTCCACAATCGGCCGGCTGATCGTCAGCAGTGGATATTTCGTCGTCTTCCACCTTTGGTTCGACGTCCTCCTCGGTCTTTTGCTCTAGGGTAGTCTGTTCGGTGTGTTTATCCAACTCGATGGGTTCTTTCTTATCTTTATCCGGTTTTTCTTGTGTTTCTGATTCCTTTGCGTCTTCTTCGACGGGTGGAAACTTCTTTTCAGGGTCTTCAACCATGGGTGTGGCTGCTGTGATGACGATTTGCGCAAAATTTCGGGCGAAATTGCTTTCATCATCAGCGTGGTCGCCAGTTATATCGTTTCGGTCCTAAATGGGAGTATATTTGTTAAATTGGAGAGTACAAAATAAAACAACAGTTTGGTCAATATATGTACAGAACCGTTAAGATATGTTAGTATCAAATACTTACTTCATCTTCTATCAGAAGACAAGGTATGTCCACTGGAGATGCAGCAAGAAAGGAAAAGTATTATAAAGATTATTTAAATATTTTGAAAATTACGGTAGAATATTTTTTGAGGTGCTTCTGAATTAAGGCTTAGTGATGACACCTAAATACCTATTTTCTTTATATTACCGAGTTATATTCAACGTGCCTCAATGAATGTCATAATAAATAATAAGTGTTGGCTAAATTTTCTACCATCTAGTACAGAGTAGCAAATTTTTCGGTGCGTTATGAAACAGAATTTGAATCGAACCTTTATCTTGAAACTGTTTCTTGTATTGAGATTGTTGGCCTTTGGAAAGGTCCAAAGAGAAACCTTGGGTCTCACCTGCTGCAGGCGCCGTGGTGCGTTTATTGTCTAAGATCACTGCTTCTCCAGTGGTTGACATGCGAGCACTTTCTTCTGAAAAAAAATTATTTAGATCATATTCTATTTGTTGAAGAATATTTTGCCATGGTTTTTGCTGTGTTTACCTTGGAAATCATCAGCAGCTGGTCTCTCCGTACAAGGTGTGGGTTGTGTGACAGTTATATCAGCAACGATTCCATCAAACAAAAAGTTTTTATCAGCCGGTCCTTTCGGTGGGGCACACGCCGGTGGTGCAGGAGCTGGTGCATCAGGTGACTCATGTTCTTCTTCTTCCTCTTCTTCGGAAAACAATTCGCCATTTTCGTCGCATAACTCTACTACCAGGGATGGGAAATAACCCTTTTGGCCATCCAATTCACCCTCCCACCAACCGTCGTCCACGCCATGGGCGCTTTTTGTTAAAATTTTTATAATCTGAAGAAATGTAATAAGAATATATTAATAGGAATATACATAAAATCTTGCACTAATAATCAATTTACTATTGAGTTATTTTTATAGACATAGACTTTGATTAATTTTCTTTTTCTAACCTGTCCTTCCTCAAATGTCAACTCATCATCAGCTGCAGCATCATAGTCGTACATGGCGCAACAATATTCAATTTGAGGCTTTGGTTTTTGTGCACCAGGTGCTGATATCACCGACACTTGATCGGGTGATTGCGTTTGCGACGATTCCTACCAAAAAAAATAGCATTAAAATTATACTAACAGCAATATTTGGATATCAAATACCTGGCAAGTATCATGATCCTGTTCTGCTATTGTATAATCCACCGATGAAAATGATATTTGTTGCTGCAGACCGTGTGTGGCGTCCCTGTCATTATCGTTTTGTGCCATCATTTCTAAAGAATGTATATATGAATATTTTTGCCATTTGTTATATTTAATCAGAAATGGTATTACAAATAAAATTTTCTACCTTGATTTGTTGGTTGATCTCGCTCCACGTCCAAATAGTTGTGTGGGACGAATCCTTCTTCACCACGATAATTTCTTGCTCTCAGCCAGCCATCTCCGTCGCCTTCACCGACAACTTCTAATTGCTCACTTTCTACTATACTTAACTCATCAGGATTTTGAGCCTAGATAAAAAAGAAATGAAGTTACTTCCATGGACTTTTTCTAAGACATTTGCATATTAGCCAGTGTACCAATGGCTTATATTTAGTTTCACTACTTATCACTTAATTTTCATTTGCATCATTGGTCAGTTATAAAACAATAAGCTACCAGTAGCATGTCGCTTATAACTAAGACACTTACGGTGTAGGAATATAGGGCAGTACATTTGTAAGTTGGTCCTGTGGGTAATGGAGCAGCGGTGGTCTCGATTCCTGCAGACGAATCCATGGCTCCCCAGTCAACTTGAGTAGGATCATCCCATCCTGCTGTCAATTGTTCTATTCGTTGCCGTTCTTGCTCCAGCATTGCTGCAGTAAAATATTAGTTACATAAATGTAATCGATTGATGCATAAATAAATTGTTGCTAAATGCATACCCCACTCACCGTCTACCTCGGCGTCCTGCATGGAAGAAATATCATCTTGGTCTTCTGGACTGTATCGTCCGTGCGAATCGGATTCGCTCGTTTTTGACACATTTGCTGCTGCAGCTGGTTCTGCATGATCTGTGTCACTATCGTAAAAAGAATCAGATGACGGCTGGTCCTAAAAACGTGTAAAATATGTTGTAAATATGTTGGATTTAACGAACGACCACAAATCATCTAAAATACTTACATGTCCCGATGCATCAGTGCGCAGTGACAAGGAGGAAGATGATCGTTGAACATCCTATAAAAATGCAGTTTAAGTTAACCAATATCAATATTTATCAATCCATTTCATAATACCTGTTGCTGTACGTCTAGAGTCTCATTAGCTTCCTTAATCCATTCATCGATAGCAATTCCACCAGCCCTGAGGCAGTCTAGACGCGCTTGGGCTTTGACTTTTGCTGTTTCACTGCGCCTAACCTGTTGACGCAGTTCTTCAGCCTTGCATTCTAAATCAGGACCGTTGGGATCGGCAGGATCTGCACGTTGGCCTGATTCTCGTAAAGCTATACAAACCTAAAAAAGATGCCAAACCATTTAATATTATTAAAATATGCCTATCCCGTTTCAATTATGACATAATCAGCTATTATCTACCTGCATTCGCCTAGTATTTTCTTTAATAGCGTTATTCTCCCTCGCTATTCTAGTTGCCCATCTTTTAGCTTCTCTGCTCAAGGTCTGGGCAGCTGATTCATGATCTATGGTGACTTTATCAATAGGATCATTATCACAAGGCTCAAAATCGTATTGAATGTGCTGTTTGAGTACAGGATAGTAAAGATAGCAACATTGTATATTATATTCTCTGGTCAACTGTTGAGCTTGATCACGAATCTTGCCGTATGAATTCTGGGTCGCACTGCAAGTCAGAAGCTCTGTTCGGCCCATTAGGGTCAAGTATTCGGCTACACGTTCGTAGACGTAATCCTGAAAATGATAACGGACACACATTAGACAGATGTGGATAAAAATTTATTTTTTGAAGTATCAATTATCCTTTCTCACCTCCATCCCTGTCATGGCAGTCTGCAGGTCCACCACAAAGTATCTCGTCTGGTGCGCGTTGGCAGCAGCCAAACTTAACAAATAATCATTCTGGCTCCTGAACTTTTCTCCTCGAGTTGATCTCTCCGACTTGAAACCCGAGCACTGTTTTTCTGTAATGACGTTATGGATTGGAAAAACGATCCTTTTTTCTTTTTCAGTTTCTCTTCAATGTCTTTGGCTTTGTCACGGACGTCGTGCGCGCTGTGTTCCTCCTCAAAGTATAGCTTTTTAGTTTTGTCCACGTCTTGGACACAAATCTGTAGTTCTTTTTGTACTGTTGCTAACTGATCGAGAGTCTGAGGGTAACAAAAGTTTAAGATAATACTTTAATTGATTAAAATATAGGGATATTACTGGGAATAGTTAATACCTTTCTAGAGGATGATACTTTTCGCGTTCTTAGAACTTTTGCCTCGTCTGCTATTTGTTGCTGGAATACTTCCACGGCTGCCAGGCGTGCTCTGGCAAGTTTTTCGTTTTCTTCCAACACTGTACGCCAGACACTCCACATATTCCTAAATACAGAGAAAAAGGTTGAAAATTTGATACGATTTTTTTCTTTCTATTTAAGGTATACCAAGATCGACTTCTTAGAGATTTTGATCAACATATTATATATACACAAATTCAGGAAGGTCTTTAAATAACACCAGTTCTTGTTCCTTACCATTTCTCCTCACTGCCATCGATTTTGATATCAGGGATGTTAGGAATCTTCTTATTCAGATATCCTGATGATATTTTAAGCAAAGCTTCCGAATAAGACTTTTCGATTGCTGATTTTTTCAAAGTGTACTGCCTGATGTCCTCCAGCAGATCGCATTCATGTTGATTTTTGGCTTGGAGTTTGGCAATTTGCTCTGAATGCAAATTTTTCAGGAATTTTACATAATTACCCTGGAAAATGAATATACTTACTGATAATAGAAATTATAAATCTTTTGCTTTATCCAATTTTTATAAAAAAAAAATCAAATGGATGAAACAACAGTGCATGTATTTATTATTTATTTATAACTTCATTTTTGTTTGCGCTAAATAATTAATGTATTCGGCAAATTTTCACTAAATTAAATTATCTATAAACATTTAATGGCCTACAACAACTATTTATTTTTATCATTTGAAAGGGTGAAATCGATTATAGTAATTCGCTTGGAAAAAATGTTTGAATTATTTGAAACCTGCAATCGATAATGGTCTCTTATGCATTTTAAACTGCTTTTTGTTGTGTGTATAAATATATATATATATATATATATATATATATATATATATATATGTGTATATATAAATATATATATATATATATATATATATATATATATATATCATTTAAATTTGGCAACGAACCAAAATCTTCACTCAACCAACATCACAGTTTTAGTGAATATTAGATCAATTTTTGAATACAATTCATAGTTTTGTATGCCGAATTGTTATAGGTATTTTTGGTATTAAGCAATACTGTAGATTTAGCCAGCATTTAGACCAAGATGCTGCATGGACTTATAGTTTTAGAAAATGCTGTACATTATTTACATTGACACAAATCTTCTTCATATTTAATATACATCAGACAAATTATTCTTGTAAGCGCCCTAATACTATAATATTCTTTTTTCTATTGGTATTTCAAATGAATCAATAGCCATGGAAAATATAAATAAATGCAGAAGTAAACTAGTTGGGTATGGCATCGTGCCTTAAGGCAAATTGCTGGAACTGCCCGTACCGTTACGAAATGTGTTTGAGAAATATTAAATGTTTTCATATAGATTATTAAAATACTGTAACATTGTCAAAAGCAATTATTTTGTCAAAACAAGCAAAAGAAAGAAAAAATTTTTTGAATCATTCAAGTCAGATTCTTAATTCTCTCAAAAACTGTTATTTTTAGCGCATTTATCTCGGCATCTTCGAAACGTCTGGACCTGCCTCTGCCAAAATCTAATCACCACTTCTCTCCGGCATTACGAATTGAATGTTTTTTAGATCATTCAAATCGGATGCTTCGTTCTTTCAAAAACTCGATTTTTAATTTCTGCACTTTTTGCTTCGTATCTCCGTAATGGCTGGACCTGCCTTTACCAAAAACTAATCATCACATCCCTATCAATAGGAAGCGATTTTTTTTTTGAACCATTCTAACCGGTTGATTCGTGCGCCTGAAAACGTGGACGAAAAATTCTATCCATACATACAGACACACACACACATCCATTTTTTCTGAGGTATGCCTAAATGTTCTAAACCTTTAAATCTTGTTGCTATAGGACTTAATATTGTTAGACAATATAATTGATCATTTCATACAAATTTGTCAAATATAGAAGGTACATTAGATCAAGGACTTAACCGTTAACGATAAATAATAATTAAGATCACGAATCAATACACAATGGCCAATATAGTACTTAAATACACAAAGCAATTATATTTTTTTATCTATGCTATTTTTAAGTATAGCGTGTTGATGTTATATCTTACAAGAGATAAAATCAAAAAATGTATTACAAGTTTATTTAGTACAGGGGGTAAAATAATGGTAGTTATTTTTTCGACCAAAATAAAATTATAACATTTTTATCATACAATATCTTCTACTCACTTTCCGAGGTGGTGGCTGCATTTTGCCAATAAAAATCAATTATCTTATGTTTTTAGACTAACAATTTCCAATTCCAAAAAGGCTACGACTCCGACAACTCCAAGTACGCGCACGCTGATTTATGAACTAACAACATAACTTTTGAATTTGAACTATCGATAGTAGTATTATTTACCGGGGAATTTAATAAAACACTTGTTTTGGCCTTAATAAATATAGATACCTAATATTTTCGTTCATTTCTATAACATACACCTAGTAAAGTCGTTCTATATTGATTGGAGCGTGCGCGGATGCTTTTTCTGAAAAGCGCAGAATCTTCAAGGAAATTATTTAAAAATCAAATTTTAAAGGCAAAATTTGTTTATACTATAGTAATAAGAATTTGACAATAGGAATTATTTATATTACTTATATTTATAATACTTTAATAAACGTTATATATGTATATAATAGCAGGTTTGAATATAAGGGCTCGCATAGTTGTAAGAAAGTGGTGTAGATGACATTCTTATTTTCAAAATTGAATTTCGAAATGTGTACAAATATAAGAATATGTTGATGTGTATAAATTTTGTCTCAAAAAAATTGAGTTTTTTGAAAATTTAATTTTTTTTTTGAAATTTTTGATTTTTTTTTAGTTTTCAAAATTACGAAATTTTTTGTAAAACCATTTTTTGCAAACCGTCTACACAAGCAAAAGATTTTTTGAATTATTCAAATCGGTCGCTCCGTTCTCTCAAAAACTGAATTACGACTTTTGTTTTTTTTGCCCCGTATCTTCGAAACGGCTAGACCTGCTTATGCCAAAAACTAATCAGCACGTCTCCTTACCAATACGAATCGATTATTTTTTGAATTATCCAAATCGGTTGATCCATGTTTTCGAAATCTTCGACGAAAATTTGTATCCGCACACACACACACATACGTCCATTTTTTCTAAGGTATGCCAAAATATTCAGAAACATTTGAAAGGTAAAGATATATAAACATTTTCATTTTTGATTTTTTTGCGATTACTAGAACTTGCCCTACGGAAAGTTATTAAATCAAGAGGCATTTATTATTATTATTATCCTTAAAATATATTTTGTTTTTTAATCAATTACTAGTACTCACAACTTCAATTGTCTTGGTAAGTCGTTTTTTCCTAGTTTTTATTCCATCAGCTGAGTTATACACAGATTTCATATTTTTACAATTCTATACTCTAATTACACTAATCAATATTTTCATAATATCATCATTATATTTTATGATAGAGTTCATATTTACTTATCTTATCATCATGTGCCGATTAGAACAGAATCACGTGGATAAAAAAACTTCTGTTGAAAATACGCCTGAATTTTCAGCACAGGTTCAACATATTTTATAAACATCATATTTGTTGATCAATGTATTCCATCTAAGAAAGAATTTTAGACAATTATTTGGCAGCCAAATTTTGGCTAGAATTTGATATGCCATGTTTTGTGATCTATAAATATAACTAGTGATGTATAGCATCGTGCCTTAAGGCAAATTGCTGAAACTTCCCGTACCATTTTTTTTAAGATTTACATTTTTGAAAAAAATTTACGTTGAAAAAATTGGATTTTTGAGAAACTATGAATTTTTGCCAAAAATTTCCTTTTTTTTTTGAAAAAAAAAATACTTCTTGAAAAAAATGTTTTCTTTATTTTGAAATATTTTGGAAATTCTGAACTTTTTTTTCAAAGCAATCGTACTGCTTTACCTGCATAGAGACGATATGTCGAAGCGCATAAGCGCCGCATCGTCGTTTAACGGATAAACATTGGTACGGAACCCATAGAAATGTAAACAAAATTTGTACTTATTGTTAAAATCTCTATAAGATATCTGATAATTTGATGTGCAAATGTCTAATGATTATTTTTGACCGCCAAATGGCAGTTTTTTACTTTTGTCACTATCTCTCCGCTAGACCTGCCTTCATCAAAATTTTATCAGTTCTTCATCTTGTCAATACAAGTAAAATGTTTTTTGAATTATTAAAATCTAAGTTACCGTTTGTGGCACTTTTTGCCCCAATCTTCGAAACGACTAGACCTGCTTATGCCAAAAACTAATCAGCACGTGCCCTTATTAATAGGAATCGAATGTTTTTTGAATAATTGAAATCGGTTGAACCGTGTTCCCGAAATCGTCGACGAAAATTTGTATCCGCACACACACACATACATCAATTTTTTCTAAGGTATACCAAAATGTTCAGAAACTTCTGAAACGTAAAGATATATAAACATTTTCATTTTCGTTTTTTTTGCGATTACTATAACTTTCCTTACGGGAAGTTAATATTATTACAATGTTAGTAGTGCATAAAATGATAAGCAATAAAGTACTTAGTTATGCTGTTGTATTTTTCAAGAGAGCGATCTGGTTTCATCTGTGAACAAAATAAACATATTATTTTATATATTGACTCTAATTAATAAGACAAAAACTCATAGATATGAAAAAACTATTATTTTATTAAATCTCAATGGTTTCTTTGTACTAAATAATATACTTCTTTGTAATTATAAATAAATAATTATATTTAACTTATATATTATATTAGTGTTTTCTTGGAATTATATATATATATATATATATATATATATATATATATATATATATATATATGATACAGTTTTGCAGCCACAAGTTGAAAAATAAAACCAGAACGTAAATATAAATCTTTTAAAAATATTAATCTTTTATAAACAATATCAAGATATATATATATATATATATATATATATATTTCTTTTCAATTTGACTGGTGACTGAGGTGTGTTTTCATATGCCCTTTCAATACATGCGCTTGTGTAAAAGCTTTTCCACACACTTCACATTTATGTTTCCGTTCACCAGTATGAGTTACCATATGTTGTTTAAGACTATAAGACTTTGTAAATCGTTTCTCACAAATACTACACAGATATTTCCTTTCTCCCGTATGTCTAACCATATGAGCATTTCGATCACTAGAAGACTTGAATGCCATAGTACACTCACTACAAGGATATGGCTTTTCTCCGGTGTGAAGTCTTTTATGAACTTTTAATGTTCCCGATTGCTTAAATGTCTTTGAACAGATATCACAAACATGTGGCCGCTCTGTTGAATGATATGTTCTAATATGACTGAATCTTCTACTCCAAGTAACAAATTTTTGACCACAATGTTCACAAATGTAGTTCTTTTCATCTGAATGATGACGCATGTGAACCAGTAAAGAAGAATGAGATTTGTATTTTTTCCCACATAATTTACATTCATATGGTTGAATACTTGAGTGACTTTTGGTGTGTTCACGAAAACCACTCAGACTTTTACTCAAGTGACCACATTCTGGGCAAAGATATAATCTATGATTGTGAGTATGTTTAAGATATTCCTCATGATTAGTAAAATCTAATTTACATTTGCGGCAATTGTACTCTGCTTTCTTTAGTTTTTCGGTCTCATCTGGCACATCTTGAAGTTTACTACATACATTTTTAGAATGATTTTCACCAGAACTAATTTCTTGTTTCTGTGTTAAATTAGATTGCTCTATATTATCAGAAGGTACAGTACTTTTTACTACAAGTTGGTTACTCGTCTTTCGCACACTTGGTATGATATTAATTAAATTAGCATTTTGTTCAATAGAGCATGTAATTTTCTCAAATTTACATTGTTGCTCATCTGTTGTGCTGTTATTAATGGATTTTTGGAACTGAAGGAAACAATTGAAATTTGGTTCTGATTCAATATTAGTTGTTTTATCATCTACTACTACGACATCTTGTTTTTGAATATTATCAAACACATCCAGTTTTTTGGCAAATTTATCAAACCTTGATATGGATCTTTTACATTTTTGCCAAAAGTTATAAGCCTGAATCAATTGTTCAAAACAAATATTGCAAATATGTTTTGGATACTTATCATTAACTGAAGCATCACTGTTTGTACAGGAATTGAACATTTTTAAAACATTTTCAGAACTGAAAGTATTTTTGTCTTGTGCAGAAAATAAATATCGCAAATTTTTATCATGCGATAAACAGGCCCGGCACACATTAGTTTTTATATTAATTTCGGAAATTAAACTTTGTCCAATTTCTGTTGTCAAATATGACATTGTTATTATTTCATAAGAGTTTCTAACCTTCATACCACTTCATACTCATTTTCTTTTAAATTGAAAATCAGATAACACTGTTTGACGCGCCATATTTAAAATTAATTGCACCAAATTAATAAATTAACAACTATTAAAATATTAATTGTAGAATTAACAAACTATAAAAATACTGTATATCAACAAACAGCACATTTATAGAAAACAAATTTTAGGTCAAAATATAAATGTTTTCAATCACATTTTACTTTCCCAACTCGTGCTTTTTTTTCATATGTCTCCTCAATCCATGCCTTTGCGTATAAGTTTTTCCACATTTATCACATTTATATCTACGTTCTCTTGTATGAAACACCATATGATTTTTCAAAGTATGTAATCTAGTAAATCGTCTATCACATAAAGTGCATGAGAATTTTTTTTCTCCGGTATGTGTATATGTATGATTTCTAAGACCACTACTTGTTGTAAATGCACTAGGGCACATTGTGCAGGGATAACGACGTTCGCCTGTATGTATCATCCTATGATTTATTAAATGGTTTTTTAGTTTGAATGTTTTAGGACATATCTCACAGGCATGAGGGTAATTATTGTCATGGATCATTTTAATATGATAATATCTCCTGTTAGTATTAGTAAAATTTTCACCACAATATTTACATTTATATTTTTTCTCATTTTGATGGCTTAGCTTATGTTTATTTAGCATGGTTTTAGTTTTATAGCTTTTTTCACAAGCATTGCATTTAAATGGCCTTATATTAGAATGTCCAAGGACATGAAATTGAAAACTAGAAATATTCCTGCTCAGATAACCACAAATATGGCATAATATGCAATTATGTTGTTTCACGTGCTCAGAATATTTATCCTTATTACTAAAATCCAATTCACATTTCTTACAACGATAGCTTGACTTGTAGTTTGCTTCATAATTTTCATTTTGTTTTGGTTTAGGTTTCTGATTTTCTTTTTCATTGCTCGAAGAATTTGTTTCATTTTGTGGTTTAAAAATCAGAAGGTATGTTTGACTACTTGAATTGTTATTGCAATATTTATTCGGAAACTGATTTATACTTTCTTCTTCTTTTACTATAACACTATCTTCACATTTATTCTGAAACTGATTTATACTTTCTTCTTCTTTTACTATAACACTATCTTCACAATGACTTTCTTTTATATTATCTGGTATATTTACCGTGGTTTCACTATAAATGTCTTCTTTATAAATCTCAAACTGTTCTAAAATACCATCACGTTCTTCTTCGAAATAGAAAGTATTTTGTTCCTCAATTTCTCTCAATTTTTCTAAAGCATTTTGGCACTTTTTCCAAAAGTCATATGAGCTGTATAATTGTTCGAGACAGAGGAAGCAAATATGTTTTGGATACTGGTCGTCCAATGATATAATTTGACCTGTACATGAAGTGAACATATTATAAATGCTGCTTTCAGCACTAAAATAATTCTCTTCTTCTAAAAATATAGGAATTAAATTCTGGTTGGCTGTCAAGCAAACACGACAAATATCCGCACCATAATTTGATGTTCCGTCGATATTGTTTAAAGAACTAGTAGGTGAATTACTCATATTTTCATTTATGAAATCTTTTTATGGGTATTAGAATTAATAACAAAATATTGCTTTAAGAATTTATCGGTATTGTTATTTTAGGTTATGTTTTCAAAATAAATCCAAATATGGCTGCTGTCATTGCAATAACTGGCTATGACATAAACACTAGTTGGTATTTGCCTTGAGCAAGTTACATGAACTTCCTGAAATGTTTAGTATGTTCATTAAGACCAAGTTCTCTGTCGTTATACCAGTAAAACGTCTAATTTTAATTTTAACAAATGTCAAAAAATCTATATACTCTTTCTCAAACTTTCATGAATTTTAAAAATTAAACTACTGGTCGTAAGGCCGTAATATTCCAGTAAGTTCTATAAGACCATGATATACATATATCGCCAAAAAAAGTTCCATAAAAATCGGCTTAATTTTTTTTTTCAACAGTTAATTACAAGAAAACGGCTCGCTAGATTTTCACCTAAAACTAATTAGTATCATTCCCAAATAATATCTTTCGAACAGTTTTTGATTTTTTAAAATCGATCCAGTAATATGAGCTTAAATGTGGACGAAAAGTTTAACACTTTTTTCGTCGCACAAAACTGATAAACAATAATCCTCATCGAGAAGCATCAAATGGCTTTTAAATTTTTGAAATCAGTTTAGACGTTTTTGAGCAAACGTCGATGAAAGGTCTAATTTTGAAAATGCCAAAAAAGCGATACCAATTTTTGCAAATTTGGACGAATTTTTAAAGTTAAACGAATTGCCGTAGGGCCGTAATATTTTAGTATGATCTAGAAGACTGTGGTATCTACCGTCAAAAAATGACAAAAATCGTCGAAAAAAAAATTTTCAACACTTTATTACAAGAAAACGACCCGGCCGATCTCTACCAAAAACTAATCAGAACGATTCCCAGCCAATAATTTTCAAAATCAATTCAGAATTGCGGGCTAAAACGTTGACGAAAATTTTTATACTGTTCTGCTATTTATAAAAAAACGGCTTTGTTTATCGGCGCACAAAACTGACAAACAATAGTCCTCATAGGGATACATGCAGTTTTTCAAATAGTTGAAAATCTTATCTAAAAAGCAAAATTTCAGATTTTAATGCAATTTTCAAAAAATTGTTCTGAAATTTTTGTATTATTTCTATATTAGTCTTATGAGCACTGTCCCACAATTGTGTTCCACAGCACCAAATTGTGTTGAAAAGTTTTATATAAAGTATAGCTTATTGTATGAGCTTTAGTTTGTATTTAGTCCCTAATAACCAGTAAAGCTTCTTGGTTTTTATCTCAAGCTGTTGCCTCTTTTTTTATGTGTATTTGCCAATTGAGTTTTCTATAGAGGTATATGCTGAGATATTTCACATGGTCTTCTTGAGGTTCTTGAGTGTTCCCTATTCTTACTAGTGGGCAGGTCTCTCTTCTAAGCATAGATGTCACATGTACTGACTTTAAACCATTCATTTCAAATTGACAATGTTTTATGGATATTTAATTTTTATTATATTGTATATGTACAGAAACATAATATGTAAATCATTAACATTTATTAAAATCTAATTGTTCTATGAATAATAATCTAGTTACAACTAATAAATGCCCCTAAAATAACAAATTTAACAAATAAATATAATCCATTAATTAGCATTATTCAATTGCATTTATTATATTATAATGGACAAAAAATTTTATCAATGAATTACAATCATAAAAACTATCAAATTTTATTATATATATACCAAATAACAATAAAACATGGATTATTTTGAAGCAAATGCAACATTTCAAATTACTTTCAACTATATATGTTTGCGTAAGTTGTTTATATAGTGTTAGGTAAATATTGCTATATTTATATAAGTTAGTTTGCTATCCTTCTCAGCATGTTTAAAAGTATCTAATACTTTGACTAATCTAAACTCAACTGTAGGCTACATTGCATTAATTACCAGTTGTTTCCAATCTCTCTTCAAGTGGGCTTACATAATACCACTTTTCACCATGTTTTCTAAACATTTTAGTTTGCCATTCCTCATTTTCATCTTTCCTTTGCTGAACAAGGTCACGTTGCTTTTGTTCTATTGTGCTCTTAGCTGTAGTAGCCCTATCTATATCATTCAAAGTCAGTCCTGCTGTTACTTCTTTCCAAATGTATCGAGACTCATTTTGGTCTTGTTGGGCAATAGGTCTAACAATCTTCTTGATTACTGTCACATTATTGACATCAAAAAATGTTTCTGTTCTTCCATCACTCCATTTAGCTTCCATTCGAGCATTCCATTCGCCATTAATGCTTAAAAATGGTTTCTTTTTATCTGTTGGAGAAAATACATCAGCCGTAATTTTGTGTTTTTTTCCTCCATAAAAAGGCTTTGTTAAAAATTCAATGTTGCATTGATAACCAGTTTGTGCACATGATATTGTTACTGAGCCCCCTAGCTCGATCCATGGCACTGTTAAAATAGATCTTCCATAACCATTAGGAAATGTTACAACGTATTCTTCGCCATAGTCAATAACTTTAACTCGACCTTCACCAATATTATGTACCCCAATAGATAATCCTAGAAATTTACTTTTAGTCCAAACATGTGCACAAAAACTTATTTTCTTGTTATAATGTTCAGCATAAAATGCTGAAATTGGTGGATGATGTGATACTTGTTCAGCAATGAATGTTAATTGATCTCTGTTGCACCATGGAATGGGTCCATCAGAAACTAACGCGTCTGATTTTTCCACTCTTTTATCTATGTCCCAATGGCATTTAAAAATTTCGCCAAGGATAGGATTATAAGGTTTTTTTGCTACAGCACTTTTCCTTCCTGCATGGTATGAAGACAGATACCATCGAACAACTTGTACCATACGATCTCGAGGATCTTTTAAATCAGCAATTTTAACAAAAGCATCAGGATGAGCAAAGTAGTCTGCATACATTTCCAATAAGGACCGTCGCTCTAAAATGAAAGTTGGTAAGACAACTTTTGTCAAATCCATACCAATTTTGACTTGAGATAATAGATGAGTAACCACTGAACCATGGGTTTCCATGGACCCCATATCTTCTTCATCATCTACTTCATACAATGCATCATAGTCCAATTCTCCATCTTGGCTAATTGGCGGAGTTCCTGAACGTTTGCCATCATCTAAAACTGCATTTTGAGAAGTGCCCGGCTGATCGCAATATTCATCAGATGGGCAACAATTAATTGCTTCACAAGCAGATTCAGCATTAGATTCATAGTTGCTCATATTGGGTACTGAACATTTGGTAAATTCTGGCAGAGACATTCTACTTCCACTGCTTGTGGGAGTTCCCGGACTAAAGATATCTTCATTAGCATCATAGAAATCTTCTTCACCTTCAGAAGATGAATACGATGTAGCAGGCACTGATAATGTCATAGTATTTCCTGATGTATTGATAGGTGCTGTTTGAGATGTTGATGTTGAGATACTTGAAGATGTCGGGCCTTGGTATACACCATTTATGGGGTGAGCTGTATTCTTTGCTATTTGCAATAAAACTATGGAGTGTTTTATGTTATCCAACATGGCATTGCTGTGATCAGAAATGACCTTGCACTTTGCTCTGTCATCATCATCCGGTATATTCTTAACTCTCATTTCTAATTTAGCATTTTGCTCAATCATGAGTTGCAAATATGCATCGGCCTCTGAGACTTTTTTATCAAAGTCTTTAACTGTTTGAGTGCGCTGTTGTTGACCAGACCATTGTTGACCCCTTTCGCTGTGCCTTAAAATTGTATCTTCCAGAGCTCTGACCCAATTTTCCCTCTCCTCACCATCTCGAGCTTGGAAGTGAAAAGTTTTATGATCTACAGTTATGGTGAATGTGGAATCATCTTCGTCATCTATGCCTATGACAGCACTGCGAAGTCTGACACAACCACGACGTACTCCTCTCATCATCTTCTCTTTAGAGGTATAGTATGATAGTAAACCTGCATTCTCATCGAGAACAAACCATCGGTATTGCCAACCCTTCATAACGTTTGTCCATTTGCTTAACGATCCTTCCATGTTATATTACAATTTTCTCAAAGTCGCTTTGTGGGCTATGCAAGAAAATTATCTTTAAAATAGTATTTTTAACATTTTGTATGTCAAATATGTGTTTCAATTTTCATAACTATTATTATATAAATTAAGTATTCTCTGGTTATTTTGGATATGCAGACTCATATCACTCGATATTTCTTTAAATATTTGATGATGAGCAGATAATATGCAACATCAATAATTAATCACTTTATAAAATAAAACGCGATGGACACTCACGAAACATTTATCATATAAAATAATGAAAACAAACATAAAAAATTTCAATGCTAACTTATGAATTAATTTGGATATTATTTGTCGAAAAATTATTAATATAAATATATCAGAATGATTATCAAACTGTCAATTATCTGTCAATTAATTTGCGGTTATGTGATAATTGCAAGTGTCACCAACATTATGCAGTGAAATACACTAAATTAGGGGCGCAAAAATTCAAATGTGCAACAAATGTACTTTTAAAATTATTCGAAATATAATAAAATTTAGTTTATATCATCAACAATGTTGCTTGGCGAACAAGAACTAAAACCGACCAAAGTGTTATTTGTTAAAAATTATGTGCATTTTTCCTGTTGTATACAATTTTGCGTTTCTCTAAATATTTGTTATATAACAACATTAATTTTCAAGTTCTTGTTAATTAGCCACAGTTTAAAATTGATTATTATTTCTATACACTATATCTGTTTTGAAATTTCTTGCAAATATTTTTGCTAAGCTTCTGATGATATTTTGAATGATATAATTTTTTATTTATTATATATATTTATTTATTTTTATATATAATACTACCATGAAAAATTTAACATAAGGTATAATTAAATATTTGATTATTTGTATATATTTATGTTGCTTTCATATAAATGAAAGTTTAGTTACAATATAATTATAATTGTATTATATATAGAATAAATTCAGTTTTTGAGAAAAACTCAGCTCAATTGCATGAGGTCACAATATCATTACATAATTATTTATTAATCTGGTACTATTTTTCATTATGTTCTGATAGCTATCTTTTACAACTTTATAAAAGTTCATAATTATAAAAAGCCATTCATCATTTATCTTTTTCATGCATTTTAAGATGTGATCTTAAAACATGACGCTGTGTAAATGCTTTCTGACAAATTTCACATTTATGTTTCCGAATACCAGTGTGTGTGACCATGTGCTGAACCACATGTTTTTTACCAGTAAATCGTTTGTCACACACTGTGCATGAAAACTTTTTTTCTCCAGCATGTATCAGCATATGTTCTCTGAGGATTGATTTTACTCGGAAGCATTTGCCACATTCATTACAGATGTGAGGTCTTTCCCCTGTATGTATTTTGAAATGCTGTTTCAAATGTTGTTTCAGGCCAAATGCTTTTGAACATACCTCACAAATGAATTGTTTAGGAGAGTGATTGCGTTTAATATGATAATACCTACCACTCCAAGTACCAAAAACTTTATTACATTGATCACAGCTGTATTTTGTACTAGCTTCCCGATTATGTGTTCTTAAATGAACCATAAAGTTGGAGTAATCTTTCACTTGGGCATTGCATGTTTCACATTTGTAAGGCTTAATACCAGAATGAACACGTAAATGGCTAGTTAATTGATGGGGCTTCAGAAATGTTTTTCCACATTCATGACATAGATGGGATTTTTCAGTTTTATCAACACCTTTTTTAATAACCTTTTTTAAAGAAATTTTATTTCTTTTTGAAGCAGGTTTAATGTATGTATTCATTTCAGGAGATACTTTTTGGTTGAGTATTGAACTTTCTAAAAAGTTAATTTTATTGTTTATCTCTTGCTCTAAATCAAATGTCTTTGATTCATGTATTTCAGTACATATGTTTTCTTCGCTTTTACTTGCCACATCTTCGGAAAGTGTTCCATTATTCTGTAAATTAATTTAATCTATATTGCAACTTCAAAAATATTAACTTATTAAATATTGAAATATACAAATCACCTTCAATTCACAAACAGAATTTTTGGCCGTATCCTTTTCCAAACTTAATCTAATGTTATTCTGCCTGGACTCTAAATTTGTACTTAAAGAAATATTCAACTCGCTTTTAGGATATATCAATATTTCATTTTGTTCTTTTACATTAACATCATTGCATATAATTGTTTTTAATGGATCTTGTTCTATAATACTGCCAGTATTTATTTCAGGTTTAACTTCTACTTTGCTTTCAAAATATATTACATTTTTGTTCCGATTATTGAGTTTTTCAACAGAATTTCTACATCTTTTCCAAAAATCATAAGCTTTACGTAAGTCTGTTAGACAATTATCACATATATGTTTCGGGTACTGATCATATTCAGTTGCTTCTAAGGATGTGCAATTAATAAACATATTTAATACACTATCAGAATCATAGAAACTGTATTGACCAAAAAATAATGGCTGCAGTTTTTCTGATTGAATCAGACATGCTCTGCACATCTTTGTTTCGAAATTCATGATGGTAATAATAATAGTTGTGATATAGCTTTAGCTTTCTTTTATATTTTGCTTTTTTATCATTTATATCTATAAACTTTTCATAGATTTATACATTTAAAAAACAGCAGAAGCATTTTGAAATACTGTTCACTTGTAAATTACTACTTTACTTATAAATGTTATATTTAAATCTGTAAATAAACAACTATTAAAGTCAAATATTTGATTATTATATTGTCTAGGATATTTGATGTTTAGGGTTATGTTTGTATTTAACAAAATATGTCAGAAGCTTTGTTAGGCTTAGGTTACACATCCAGTTTTTTAAATATCTTTCATAATAATTTATTATTTAATAATTTTAACTAGTGAATTTCATTCCTTTAAAATAATTATACAAATTTAATTTATTGAGCTTAGAAATAATACTATTAATACTTGGGTTATTTTTGATATTAACGAATTGCTTTCAAATATTATATATATATATATATATATATATATATATATATATATATATATTTCATAAATTTAAAATTAATATGAAGTATCATATTATTCTGATCCTGATTTCACAGTCTAATTGTAGCTTTAAATAATTTACACTTGTATTTGTTTGTCTTTTTCATGCATTTTCAAATGAGATCTTAAAACATGTCTCTGAGTAAAAGTCTTTTTGCAAATATCACATTCATGTTTTCTAATCCCAGTATGTGTGACCATGTGTTGAACAACATTTTTTTTAAATGTAAATCTCCTATCACAGACAGTGCAAGAAAATCTTTTTTCTCCTGTATGCGTTCTCATATGTTCTTTAAGAGTAGATTTATTACTGAATTTTCTACCACACACAGTACACGGATGTGGCTTCTCACCAGTATGTGTTTTCATATGGCTGTCTAAAAACCGTTTAAGTGCAAATGCTTTTGAACACACTTCGCAGATAAATGATTTAGGCAAATGTTTCAGTTTTGTATGAACATATCGCTTGTTCCAGTTATCAAAGATCTTATCGCAATGCTCACATTTATATTGTATATTAGGATCAGGATTATGAATCCGTAAATGAACTGTAAAGTTAGCTTTAATTTTGAATTGAGCGCCACAAGTTTCACATTTATAGGCTCTAAAATCTGAATGAATTACTGAATGGCGAATTAAAAGACTGGGTTTAGCAAATGATTTGCCACATTCGTGGCATAAATGTGATTTGGCAGATCGTTCTTCATTCTGGCTTTTTGTAGATTTTTCTTTTAAAACATTCTTAGTTTTGTTTGCACTGGTTTTATGTTTATTTATTCGTTTTTGAGAGCTCTTAGGTTTGATCTTGTCAGCACTTTGCATCTTATCATCACTTGAGCTTTTGTTCGAAGTTGATTGCAATGAATTTTGTATAAGGTTTATTTTATAATTAACTTGATCTTCTAAATCAAATATTGGTGTTTCATATGTTTCATTATCATCATCAATTTCTATATTTTTGTCTATTATTTTTGTATCTTGAATAAAAGGAAGGTGACCCTGGAATACAATATTGCTTATAGTCAAATGCTTATATATATATATAAGTTAATAAAACAATAAAAATTAATTTTGATACAAAGTTATTTGATGCTCAATGCGCTATTTACAGACCTCAGACTTTGAGTTTGATGTACTTTCTCCATAATCTGCATTTGTGTTAGGGTTTTGTTGGTCTATTCCATAATATTTATTATAAAAGTAATTCAAATTATTTTCAGGACAAACTTTAACATCATTCATTCTTCTTTCTAAATTATTATGTGTGTTTATTTGATCAGAACTTGGACGTGGTGGATCTTTAAGTTTTTCCTCATTACTAATTTCAGGCTTTATATCAAATTCGCTTTTTAACAATACTAAACTTTCATTCCTATGATTTAGTTCTTCTATAGAATTTCTGCACCGTTTCCAAAATTCATAAGCTGTATTTAAATCTCTTAAACAATTATGACAAATATGTTTTGGATACTGGTCATATTGGGTTGCTTCTAGAGAAGTGCAAGTAATAAACATATTTAAAATAGTATTAGCATTATACAACTCGATTGACTTGTGGTAGTCAAAAAATAGTGGATGCAAATTATCAGCTTGAGATAAACAAGCTCTACAGGTTTTTGTTTCGATATTCATTATTCCAGCATAAATGTAAATTTATATTTATACAAGAATCAATTTCTCAATTACATTATCATTGTCCCCTTACATTATATGCCTACAAGAGTCAATTTGTCTCATTACATACATTTTATCTGAAATAATGAGAAATATGTAAATACTTATGAGTTAAAATAAGGGCAAATAGACTTAAATTAATTACAAGATGATCATATATATTTTTATAACTGTAATTTTCACCATATCTTACATTGTTTAAAATTAACTGTTGTAAATTAAGACACATTTTGGTTATGTACATTATTTATAATTTATGTAATTTTAGTTTGCGTTATGTTAATATTTATTATAATATGATGCGATTTGTAAAAGTTATTCCAGATGCTGAATTAATATATTTCTTTAACAAAATTGAATTATTTATTTGTATTGTAGTGTATGTCAATCCTGTTATAAAATAACTAACACAGATGTCACTTTAATCACAATAAATAAACTTAGGCCACGACCACATGGTAACAGTTTCAAGGAATAAAAAAAGATATAAACTAGTGGTGTATGGCATCGTGTCTTAAGGCAAATTGCTGAAACTTTCGTATTAAAAATTAATTTTTTTTAAAACAATATTTTTTTTGAACTTTGAAAAAAAATAGATTTTTGAGAATTTTTGAAAAAATTTTGGGAAAACAACTTCTGGCAAAATTTTTTTTTTGATGTGCATATGTCTAATGATCATTTTTGACCGCCACATGGCATTTTTTTTACTTTTTTAACTAGATTTCCCAAAGCGCTAGACCCAAAACTTTAATCAGTTCTTCACTTTGCCAATACAACTAAAATATTTTTTGAATTATTATTAGAATCGGACGTACCGTTTTTTTAAAAACTAAGTTACCTTTTTGGCACTTTTTGCCCTGTATCTGCGGAATGGCTAGACCTGCTTTTGCCAAAAACTAATCAGCACGTCTCCTTATCAATACGATTTGAATGCTTTTTGAAGTATTCAAATCGGTTGATCGGTGTTTCCGAAATCGTCGACAAAAATTTGCTTCCGCACACACACACACATACAACCATTATTCTTAAGATATGCCAAAATGTTCAGAAAGCTTTGAAACAAAAACACAAAAAATTTCATTTTCGATTTTTCTGCTATTATTATAATTTACCCTACGGGAAGTTAAGCATGGTGATATTTACTTGAGTAACAATAAATAAATGGATATAATAACATTTTATACTTTAATAAAACAAATATCTAATTGACCAATTTATTAATCATAATTTTAAATATATAACTATACATGTGTAATAGTCTTTATTTTTTATTTTATCAGACTTATTTAATATATACATCGTACACCTCATACATATGCACACAAATATATATTATATATTGCGGTATATGCAAAATAACATCTTCTACTGTAGGTATGTGCTATGTTCTAATTTTGATATAAGTTGGTATTAAATTATAGATTCATAAATTACTTTGAATTCGTAGTGTAATAATAATTACTTTATTTAATATAATCAGTTCATAGATATGAATCAGTTATTTTATTTTGGCAGAGTATCTTTGATCTATTAGCAATTACAAGATTTTCAAGATACTAACTTTTGCAGAGCATCTAAAAAATCACTGACCCATCAGAATTAGCACTCCAGGATTAGTCAGTCTCCCTCAATTTATTTTATCACCATGGTAAGTTTCTCTCTTGAAAATAAATAATTTTTTTGGCATCAATTTAAAAAATGCTTCATATCCACATTGATTTGATGATACACGACGCCATCCAACTATTCATATCCTCAATGTTTTTGGAGCCTTAGTTTGCATTTTTCTGCACACACCTTCCAATTTGCACTTTTCTTTATTTTCTTATTTATTTTTTAAAATGGTGGGTAAAGCTCAGAAGCTCAGTTTTATTTGTTGTTTATGATTATTTGTCGAAAATTTTCATTAGCTAATTTTCTTCTGAATGGTCAGTGCTTTTCGTTTCAGCGTATTAAAGAGTGTCAAGTTAGATGATGCAAATAATACAATACTGAAATTTTGCTAATAAATCAAGAACTTTAATAATACTACAGTTACTTATATTTATTAATTATCTAATTCATATTTATAAGAAAAAACTACAAGCATAATTATTGTAATAATAATTTATTATATCACAGAGATAAATTAGCAATGATTTTCCAGAGTTTCTTTCGCTTTTGAAAAAGTTTGCAGCAATAAAGATCCTAAATAATCTTTCTGGATAAGTTATTGATAAACATTTATCATTGCAGTCACACATTTTTTATTTTATCTCTCGGCTCAGCGCCCTGCAAATGGCCAAATCAGTCCACCAGATGCTGAACACCACAAGTAACTCCAAAGTGCAAAAGACTCTTGGTCTTCTATCTTAATTTGATTTGGCCATAAACAGGTAGCCTTACTTCACTCGTTTTTTACTAACTTATAGTAAAAACAGTGCATTCAGGGCCTTTGTTCTTTCCATTTAAGTCTGCCCCTTTCACAACCGTTTCATAGGCAGGGGGCGCAAACAGTTCATAGGCGGGCGGTTTTTCGGGAGGTGTCTGCTTTCTATCTGACATAGGTGTCAATACCGGTAAAGAGGATTGAGAAGGTGGCAAGCGCCTACAGAGACCCCCGGAACACGATAGGAACGTGAAGAAAATGATCAGGGCCCCAAAGGTCATCACGTACCATACCAAGGCGAGCATTCCTGATTCGGTGGTTCCACCTGGATAATGGAGAGATTATTAAAATGATAATTTGTAAATATCTGCAATCTTAATGTTAAAGAAGATAAGTAACTTACGATGCTGTACAGCAGGGTGGCTTACAATATCTGCACTCACATTTTGGCTGTCGCAAAAAACTACAATAATATTTCCTGCAAACAAAATATTTTTTATATCATTATAAAATATATTTAAAATTGTAAAATATTTATAATTAATTATGAGATGCAAATTCTTAATAATGATAAAAAGCATGATTCAAGTAATGCAAAAATCGTTGAAAAAAATCTTCTTTCGATAACACGAAACACTTTTCGATAACACGAAAAATTTAATAAATTACGTGATCTATTAGTACGAATATATAGCCTTTTTTATAGTTGATTTTAAAATAACAGTTTTTTTTAAAACGAAAACCACCTTGAGTTACTATAGAAAAATGAATGAATGAAATGATCTTTCAAATCTTCCTAGGGAATTATCAGAGGCTGTGTAAGTAGCGAATTTTATAACATAATTTATTATATATAAGATTAAACTGTGAATATGGGTGGTTACGATCCATAAAAATACAAAATGCACAAACCTGCTAAAATAATCCACTTCCTTATATCCATAATTTATCAAGGCACATCGAACATCACACTCCCAAACTAAATTTGTCAAAACAAACAAACAATTTGCAATATTATGCTTAAAGTTCAGTTTCAATTCCAAGTATACACTTTGCGATAGGTGGATCTTCCAATACTGATGCCAAATTTTTACTTAAATAATAAGATTAATTACCACTGCAGTGTATAATGATCTATCTTATGAAATGGCACTTTTGATAATGATTCTACCTGTTATTTTGATGATAACGTTTCGGCAAATCGTTATCGAGAAGATAATGTTATCAGTTTCATTCGCAACTTGGAAACATCAAACTGTTGCGCACTTTGAATTCAAATTTTTTATCAAAATCGAAGTTCGGGATTCATTGACGTAAAATTCACAATCAAATACGATTGCATATCACCATCATTTGGGTTTTAAGGTTCGGTTTTGTTTTTCTGGAATTCTATGTTTCTCTGGTCAACGTTCTCCATGATATAGACGTTATTCCTCTTACCAAGAAAATAGATGGACAAATAATGCAAGGAGAAAGATCTTGAAAATAGGGTTTCCGAATTACTAATATATAACTAATCTACAGAATTTTGAAGAAATATCTTTCGATTGGATAATACTGACTTATTATCAATATTGGTGCCAGTCTGTGCGTGTACCCCCGAACTTCTGCTTCCATTCATCCTTGTCCTTTATCTCTGTATACAATATCTCGTGGTCTCAATTTTTGATCAAAACGTTGATTTCATATATAGAAATTTGTAAATTAATAGAAAGATATTTCTTTATTTTATAAAATTGAAATTAAAAACAAAATTATACAAAATGTCTTGACATGAAGTTCCAAAATCTTTAGCATCAAAAAACGACTTGGTGAGTTAAAGGACAAGGAGAGGTTGAATTGCGATTCCAGTGAACTTTTTGGAGTCCGCGACCCGAGGTCTGGACATACAGAATGAGTATGCCAATGGAAGTCTGGTGTCATAGCTAAGAGTAAATGTGTTAATCCGTGATTAGGGCGCTGCACCAAAGTCTATATTTTCTTTCAATTCTTGATTTATCTTAAATTGCTATCTTCATTGTAGATGTCGTAGGTCACCAGTATAGAAATTTGTAAATTAATAGAAAGATATAATATTTCTATATTTTATAAAATTGTATTAAAATATATCATTATCAAAACTATACAAAATGTCATGACATGAATATTTGTTTTTATCAAATTCTAAAGCTCCTTGATTCCCTTCCATGTCACTTTTTGGCCAATATGGATTTGTCCTAGTATTCTTCAGAGAGTAGAGTTATTTCTTTCCTCACTTCTTCATTTACGACCTTCCACTCCAGGTTTAACCAGCATCTCTAAACTCTTCGGGTGGTATTTGTTTTGAGACTTAGTTTTTTGGCCAATAAAATTCTGATTCTATTTCGAGCTTCTGTTTTCTCCTAGGTAGACTAATGTACCCAGGAGACCATATCTAAAAGCAAATTCTCTTTTATCACATAATCATAGCTTTCTTGTTCGCTGGTCAGTTGAGTTCTTTTTTTTTAGAATTTGTGAAAAAGTTTATGTCCAAAATGTTTTAATTTGTTTATTGACAAAACTAATTATTATACGAAATTCTAATTTTTTTACAATTCTTATCATCTAATGATGTTTGCGTTTGTTAATTGATAAGAGATAAGGCATAATACTCGGATAATTTATATCATAGTGCAAATATTAGAATTATTTATAAATTATATATATATATATATATATATATATATATATATATATATATATAATACTGGTAAGAAAATTGTCAAAAACATCCATGTGTCTGAAGAACAATGCAAACTTCATGAAATTGCATTATTGTGCCATCTAAAAATAAAGCTGATTGTGCTTACCTACTTAATACTTATACTTTAGTTGTCTTCAATTTTAGTGTTGGAATATTTGGAGTATGGTTCACTACTGATCAGATATATGAACTATTTCTATTCTAGTTGAATAAACTAAAGTTTCTTCTAGTCTTATTAGTAGACCGTTATCATTTCGTGATTTATAGTTATATTTTCAGTAGTCCAATTTTTTAGATCCTTAATAATTATCTCCATCTTATTTACCACTTGTTTTTTGTCAATAAATTAAGATAAAATCAGAAATTTAATATTTATTATCTAAATTTATTAACCTAGTTGTTACAATGTTGTGAATTACGCACTCATTATTGTTTGTTTTACGTCAGTAATATCAAGATTATAAAATTATTTTGCGTACTTGAACAATAATTAGTAGCCATTAATTAATAAAGGCATTTATAAATAATAAAACTATATTATAATAGACAAATATGTTATAAACAAAAATAGCTAATGCTTGTCCACAAATAAAAAAATATTTAAAAAAAAGCGAAAAATTTGATACGCATACGTATTTTACAACCGATGTGTAAGTACACTAAATATTTTGTTATTGCAAAAAAATTTGCGTTTTATATTTCAAATTGGTGATAAAAATGATACATATTTAATCTTATAAGTCGCTAATAAAATGTTATAAAAGACTTTATAAAAAATCTGATAATTTAATAATAATCACCTTATATGAAATATGTACTCGTTTTTATATGCATTGAAATAGTTTATTTTTTAAAAATGAAATAATGCATTATACAGTAAATTCAAAATATAACTAGTGGTAAATGACATCGTGCCTTAAGGCAAATTGCTGGAACTTCCCGTATTTTAATGAAATATTTGAGAAATATTATTTTTTTTTAATTACAATACTTTTACAACTGTTAAATAATTTAACATCTAGTAATAATATGAACATTAACATAAATTTAAATAAAAAAAGAGTAAAAAGGATAGAATTTACATTAAAATGATATCCGTAGTATGGTGATTTAATATAAGTTTTTAATTTAATTATTGTTAAATGGAAAAGGTAAATATCTTGATTAGTCCGATATCAAATAGATGGCATATTGTGACGGATTGGGTTGAAGCCCCCTTCTTGGGGTATGCAATGGCTGCCAAATACTATATTTTAGCCTTGCAACCCCTTACGAAGGGCTTACTTCAACACTCCAATCGCCCGCTAAAGTACCTGTAATTACCTGTGGGAGTTAGTAGCTACTATACGAATGAAACCAAGATTACTTTTATAACTAAATCTATTAAAATAATTAACTTCCCGTAGGGAAAGTTATAGTAATCGCAAAAAAATCGAAAATGAAAATTTTTACTTTTCTCGACGTTTCAAAGGTTTCTGAATATTTTGGCATACCTTAGAAAAAATGGATGTATGTGTGTGTGTGTGTGTGAGTGTGTGTGTGTGTGTGTGTGTGCGTGTGTGTATGTATGTGCGGATACAAATTTTCGTCGACGATTTCGGGAACACCGATCAACCGATTTGAATAATTCAAAAAACATTCGATTCGTATTGATAAGGAGACGTGCTGATTAGTTTTTGGCAAAGTCAGGTCTAGCCGTTCCGAAGATACGGGGCAAAAAGTGCCGAAAACGGTAACTCAGTTTTTAAGAGAACGGAGCGTCCGATTTTAATAATTCAAAAAACATTTTACTTGTATTGACAAGGTGAAGAACCGATCAAATTTTCATAAAGGCAGGTCTAGCGGTTTCGGAGATCTAATAAAAAAGTAAAAAAAAATGCCATTTGGCGGTCAAAAATGATCATTAGACATATGCACATCAAATTATCAGATATTTTATAGAGATTTTAACAATAAGTATAATTTTGGTTTACATTCCTATGGGTTCCGTACCAATGTTTACGCGTTAGACGTCGACGGGGCGCTTACGCTGTTTGATATTTCGTCTTTATGCAGTTAAAGCAGTACGATTGCTTTGAAAAAAAGTTTAGATCTTTCAAAATATGTCAAAATAGAGAAAACATTTTTTTTCAATAAAAAGAAAATTTTTAAAAAAAAAAAATTAAAAATTTTTTTTTTTCGAAAAAAAGTAATTTTTTGTCTAATTGTTTGTCAAAAATCTTATTTTTTTGAAGTAATTTTTTTTCAAAATCGTTAATCGTTTTTAAAAAAATAATAATTTTTGGTACGGGAAGTTCCAGCAATTTGCCTCAAGGCACGATGCCCTAATTGCCTTAAGACAGAATTCCACTTACAGCTAGTTAATAATACATTCCGCATGTATTTGTGGAACTTGACTGTACTTGCATACAGTCAATGTTCCCTAACTAATGCTTCTTATTCTTATATCTTATGCTTATACGAATATATGAGTATATGGGGAGAATAGCTACAGCTTATAATCTACATAATCTGACCTTTAAGCTGGACCTGTCTTGTTGCACAACACACACACAACTAACACTAACGTATCCCAAGGCGTTCGCCTATGGGATACGTCTTCGTTGGCTCTAACTTCTTAATTGCCAGGACCTCCAGAGCAACTCTCTGATGGACCCCAAGAACCAATAGATAGTTAGGGGTAGTGGTAGGGCTGTGTACCCTGGGGTTGACGACTATCAGGCGACAATAATTATCAATACGACGATAATTATGATTATCGTCACAATATATTAAAAGGATTACTGTAGGTTTATATTTAACATAACAATTTGCTTGGATTTCACATTCTACTGACTTTAAAAGTATCTTAAGGAAGAAATCAAGGCATCACACGTGAAATGTACCCAATTAAAGTTTTTTTTATCTTTAAAATAACAATTCAAACTCATCCAAAAATATGCATATTAATTTTCTAATGAAATACCATTTGCAAAATACGTTTATCTTTGTTTTGAACGTTAGTTACATATTTTTTTCAATCACATGATACACCTTAAAATTTAATCTTATCTATCTTATCTTTTGTTTAAAAATTAAATAGTGATGTAACACGTTAAAGAAACAAATAAACAAAAAAATTCGCGGAATAATTTTAATATTGACCCAAATTAATTTACAGCACATTCGTCACGAATATCTGATAATCATTTTATGCAATCTACAAAACCGATACTTAACATTTTTAGTTATAATAAATTATTAAATTATTTTTAGTAATTATGGTTTATTCTAATGGTTTATAGGATTATAAAGCTAATTTTTGAATAATTTAGTGATAAATATAGCATTCAAATCAATTCATCTCAAAAAATAAGAGGGAAAGCTAATTCCAGAATTAATAAATTTAAAAAAACTACATCATAAAAAAATAATAAGGCTTTAAAT